GGGGGCCCCGGGGCGGTCCCGGGGGTGCCCCGGGACTGTCCCTCGGCTACCCCGGGGCTATCACGGGGATTTCCCGGGGATGCCCCGGGCCTGTCCCGGTTCTGTCCCGGAGCTTTCCTGGGGATGCTCCGGGGCTGTCCTGGGGCTGTCTCGGGGCTGCACCGGGCTGTCCCGGGGTTTCCCCGGGGCTATCCCGGGGCTCTCCCCGGGCTGACCCGGGGGTGCCCTAGGGCTGTCCGTGTTCTTTCCCGGGGCTGTCCCGGCCTGTCCCGGGGCTGCCCTGGGGATGTCCCAGGGTGTCCCAAGGCTGCTCCGGGGGTGCCCCAAGGTTGTCTCGTGGATTTCCTAGGCCTGCCCTGTTGGAAAATAATAATGGCGTCGAGTGCGCAGCGGAATTTAAAAAAATTAATCAACGTCAAAGCCAACCACCTTTTGAGATTTAGGAAACTGCACGTCTAACAGATTAAAGCGTTCCAAAGAGCAACCGAAAGAGCCTTATCCAACTGGTCTTCTTTGCTATTCTCATTTCCACGATCGGAGTGTGGGTGGGCACACGTCGTTCAATCTCCTCGTGGTATTCTTGATCTCCTTCCAATCACGAAAGAGCCAAAGAAAAAATTGTTCTTGAGAATTAAACAATTTTTCCTCTTAGGAATCTTTTATCAATAGCCTCCAAAAAGTCTCTCAAGTGATCTCCTGAATAAAGTGACTTAATAGGCTATTTATAGTGTTTAGGAAGTTATACTTCCGTAATAATCAGGTTTCTCAAAGTCTTAATCGCATCCAGAGTCGATTTTGCCACGTCAGGATGCATTTTACGTTACAACCGGTCGACCGGACATGTCTGCACTGACGAAAGTTGTTTTCCTAGTTTTTCAACACGGGAAACTTGCATAGAGCCTCAGTTTTGATTCAAGCAACCCAATAGAGAAATTGCCTGATCAAAACAGTCATATAATAGTCTTATCATATTAAACAACTCTTAAAACAATAATTCAACCAATTTATCTAGAATTAATTTATCAATTAATTCACCCGATAAATCACCCATGAATTAACTTTGAACCTCTTTTATGGAAATAACACAAGTTACCAATGTGTAGGAAATACGTCATATCGTTACAGAAAATTATGTGAGCTAGCAAAGGGACCCGATGGATCAAGCTCCTATAATCACAACGCTACTTGTAAACCAACAAGTCTGTCTCATGATTATAAAACTCTAGCGCTATTCCACTAAAGCCTAGAGCTGCACTCTCGATTTATATAGAGTATTTACAAAGCTCTGATTAGCTCTAGTCTATGACTCAATATATTAGTGTATCATCCCCATAGGATATCCATAATCGACTTGAGGTCAAGTTCCGTTTTACCTTCCCGATTACATTTATCTTATGTTCCATTATCATACCATCGGAAAAATACTATTCGTACCATTATAAACAGTAAACCATTAGATAACACAAAGTAGTCTAATGGCCGAGCGCTCGTATTTTTCAATCCACTGATAATGCATAAGAGGATATCATTGACTCTCTATAGGAGCT